TACTGGCCAGCACCTGTATATGGCAACGCAACCTTCTGATTCTGATACCTAATGGTGAAAGAAGTGGTTTGGTTTGGTTAGGGTTACTTCTAGAAGATTCATTCAGTTTGCTGAGGTTCATGCATCCATCTATCTACCAGTCCGTCCAACTGATCGTCCATCAATCTATCCTTTCAATTCAATTCAAGTTTATTTATATAACACCAAATCACGACACAAGTCATCTCGGGTCACTTCACACAGTAAACATTCCAATACAGTTCAGGTCATCAAGCCAATTAGTAAAAGGTTTCCTACATAAGGAATTTGATGATTGGCTGATTTGGTTGAAGATAACACCAAAGATCCTAACTTTGTTCTCGGAGACTGATTTAATGCCGTTCAGGTCAGGTGACTGCCCAGGCAGTTTCCTTTTCTGAATTTCAGGTCCAAAGATGAGAACTTCAGTCTTGTCTTTATTTAAAAGCAGAAAGTTTAGAGTCATCTAATTTTTTATGCCTTCAAGACAAGCCTGTAATCTAACTAACCGATTGGTTCCGTCCATCCACCCACCCATCCATCTATCATGTTTTCCACTGGAGATTCCACCAATCTGCTACATGATTTTCTTGTCTTCTTATTTTCCCTTCCTCTCCCTCCATTGTTCCGTTCCACTTTTGCTGCCATGGCACTTCTTCATCCTCCTCATCCTTCCTCTCCGCCTCCAAAATATGAGGCTTATCTGTTGATCTGTTCCTGAGTAACAATGGCCTTCTTTCTTCATGTTCTCCTCTTGCTCCTGCAACAATGAGCTGCTTTCTTTCTCCGCCAACAGACTCGACGCCTCTTCGTAATATCTCTCTTCAGGAGATATCGTTCCCATTTTCTCTTTCAGGCTTCTTGCTTGACTTCTCTCTTTCTTCCTCTCCATCCTGTCGTCTCTTCATGTCACTGTGTCTGACTCTCTTTGAACTTTCTTCTCTCTGCGCAGCTCTGTGATTACATGTCACATTTGTGTGTGTGTGTGTGTGTGTGTGTGTGTGTGTGTGTGTGTGTGTGTGTGTCTTACAGCAACAGAAGCAGCAGTACTGATGCATGACATATTACAACAGTGGCACTACAAAGAGGATAAATTCGTTGAACACCAAGTCTAGATCATAGCAGGGACAATATCTGGAGAAATATTACGTCTGATTAAGCAAAATAAACATACCGACTTTTGCTTCAAAGAGCAAGTTTACTTGTTTTGAATTAATGGTGTTTCATGCAGGCTGAACATGGAAATAGTCTTCTACACCTACCTCCTGCAGTAGCTTCTGATAGAAAATAGACGGTGAAACTCTAGGATTAGAAGATCCTGACAGATCTACGTCACACTGTCACTAACATTCATGGACTCACCCATCTTGACTCACGACGGGAAAGGCTATTGTTGGTTTAGCCCAGGAAACAGCAGACAACGTCTCAGCTTGTAGAAGCTAACCATTAGCATTAGCAACTCCACCACACAGCAGAACTCCTCCAGGCTTGTTTATCTTGTGGAGATAAAACATCAAAGTTACAGAACAAATAGTCAGTGCTAGAGTTGTGTTGCTGTTAGCCAATCAGAGGAGAAATTTCCAAAATATCAGGAAGTAAGACTCTAGAACCTCCTGCCGTCTGCTCTGGTTAATTTCTAGTTGCTGAAACAGGAGTGCCTTCATCCTGATGCTGCAGCTGTGACAGCTGTTTGCTGGCTGAGGTGTTGTAGGAGCCTTTATGTAGACTAAACTGATCATAGATGTTTGAAGGCTCCTTTATTGATTTCTAATTGGCTGAAACGGTTTACAAAAAGCTGAATTTCTCTAAAGACAAAGAATACATGAAGTCCAAAAGTCACAGCTGGGAGGTCCTGAATGATCTAATAAAGTCATATTTAATGTGTTAAAATAACACTAGATATGCAGAATAAGAAGCAATGAAAGAACTGTAGTTTGAATGTTGAATCAGCAGTTAGTTTTATGGAAGACGAAGCGATAAATGTTGATGTGAGAGGAAGCCAGCAGGAGAGCAGGATTGTATGACGAGGTGGAATCTTTGCGTTTGTTATCGACCGAGAACTTGCCTTGCCCTCGGGCACTTTCCTTTAGCCAACTTGTCTGAACCCTCCCACTGTCTTTATGGGTGACCCCGTGAGGAAAGTTAACCATTGAGCAGGGTTGATGGTTTATCCATTGGGTCCATGTGGCAGGGGCGAGGAGTGAGCACCACCTCACCCCTGCCACATGGACCTCAAGGGATAAACCATCAACCCTGCTCAATGGTTAACTTTCCTCACGGGGTCACACATGAAGACAGTGGGAGGGTTAAACAGACGTCTGGCTGCTACTTGCTGATTTAGCGGTGAGGGTGTAGGGTGCAGATCGTTCCACCAGCTAACATGTTTACGTGGTTGTTTGGTCCACGTCCTTAAACCCAAAGCACTGATGAGGCTCGTCTGGGTGACCAGCATGCACTTCTTCTTGCGTTGGTGTCCAGCAATGAAATGTGTCCATACTGAAACACTTTCCTACCCGGCTTGTTTGGTGGTACCTGAAAAATTCATATCATAACATAAATAAATGTTGTCAACACGGGTCAGTAAATCACACGCACCTTGGATGAGGAGCTAGGGGATGAGGAGCTAGGGGATGAGGAGCTAGGGGTTGAGGAGATAGGGGATGAGGAACTAGGGGTTAAGGAGGAGGCGGTGATGTGAGATAACGTCTGAGTTTCATGCCTGTCGCTCTGGTAAACTTCAGATCGGTTTCCCTCTGAGTGAGAGCGGGAACAGAGCCGATAGTCACGGTGACTCTGAGAGGAGAAGATGATGAAAGAAGATCCAACTTTGATGAGATTATTGCTCATTTTCTTTTAATTAAGTGCTTAAAATCATGAGGAAACAGTCGTGGCTTCTGCTGCTCTCAGGATGTCGTCTGCTCTTCAAACCAGCTCCACTTTATCGTCTTCTGTACTGAATGTAATTCTGTTCCTCCTTAAAGGCTTTGGGTGGAGTTTCTGGAGGTGAATGGGAGATGATTTCCCCGTAGTAAAGTTCCTGAGTGAGGCTTTAAACTGGTGCTCTGAGGTTATCACTCAGCTTAGAATAAATTAACTTTGATTGTTGCTTTTTTTCTGTAATGTCTTTGCCTTTACTTGCCCTTGCCACCACCATAATAGCTTCTGAGAAAGCAGTTTATTGCTCCTCGTTCCTCCTGCACCTCACTGTGTGTGTCCTTAGAGAAATCCCCCAGAAAGCAGCTTGCCTATTTCAGCCACGGGTGCACAAGCGCACCGCGAGTGTGCTCGGGAGTCTGGTTACAGGACAGAAAGGACAAACGCTGCAGTATATTTGAGACGTTTGATGCATGAAATGATTGTTGTAGGGAGTGAGGTGAGCAGACAGTCTGGTGGGACATCCAGGAGCATTAAAGGGAATCTTTAATGTTCTTTAAAATGGTAGGAAAACACCATTTAAGGTTAAAAAAAGGGTGCTTTGGTTATCCATCGAACACTAAGCGTTGCACTAATCACTAATCAGGGACTCCCTGCAAACACAAGAGGTTTAAGCAGGACATCACCAGCATTTCTAATAGGGGACTCCCCATCTTCAGACAAATGCACTGAAAGCACACATGTGCTAGACACTACAACACAAAACACACATCGGCTACATGGATGTTAATCACAAGCTGAGGAGACGTTCCAGGAGCTTGTCCTTCTTCAGCTGGGTGCTTCAGGGCTGAGCTGGGTGCTGGTCTTCTCAGCACACGAGGATGGAAACAGGTGGCAGAGAAACAAAACAGAAACACAAATGGCTGTGGCCATAACAGACATACTTGTCTGCTGCCACGTGGGTTTCTGGTGCCTCTGGAAATACACCAAATGCAAATAAAACTTGTCCACCTGTCTTCTGTCAGTGTCTGGTTTTAGGAAACGTGCCTAAAACGAGCTGTTACAAACATCCATGTTTGAGATGCCACAAACAGACAAATATGCATCAAAACCCCCACCTCCACCAATGAGTGCTGGAGAAGCAGCATCTCTACTACAAGCTCCTCCCTGATTTCTGAGCTTCTCACCTCATAGCAGCCAATCAGGGGCTGGAGGGGTGGCCAGCTCCAGCTTGTTTCCTTATGGCCCTTCCACACCAGTATCGGCTCTACTGCACTTGGACCAGACTGGAAGTGTTCTCATTCAGCTAGCCTTGGATTTCCGTTCGCACAACCGGCGTCTTTCCAGCCCTCTTCCCGAGGCGGTCTGCCTGGAGCCAAACAGGTCCAACACGCTCTCTGCTTACTGGCTAGCTCAAAATCATGCGTACTATTAGGGGGATCCTCCGATTGGTAGATGGAAGCTTTGAGATCCTCTTTGTCATAACGAGGAAGCTGGGCGCCTGATATAAACAGGAATTGTAAGGAACTCTCTGTCTGTGGGACTAGTGCGTGCTTTTTGCGTCTGCTGCTTGAACTGTGGAGTTTAGTGTGTTTTCCTGGTGCTGGTTGGAGCATTGCACTGTCCCTACATTAATTATTAACTAGGAGTTGTTAGCTGCAGACTAAGGGGGGCAGCATGTACCCCCCCCCCCCACAACCCCACCCCCACACCCCCCCCACACACACACACACAAACAGGATCCTTTTCGCTCCATCAGCCCCCTACCAGCCACGTAATTGGCCAACTTCTTTTAAATGTACTTGAGTGTAAATCCCAGTTCCTGTCTCTGCCTTTGACTGTTTACGGGGGGGGGGGGGGGGGGGGGGGGTGTCTATGGCTGCAGGTTCTTCTGACATCAAGGCCCAGCAGCACTCACATGCACCTGCTACACAGAAACAACCCAGTAAAAAGTGAAGCTTATAACTGATCTTGAATCAGTTTGAATGCTGTGGATCAGTCACTACAAACCAAGAATCATTAACTACCTTTAATTAACACTGGTGATCGTGTAAACGGTGAGTCTTTGGGAGCACCGTTTGACTCCTGGTGTGTGGTTTCTGTTCCAGGTCTCGGAGATGGGGAAGGACTCCCTCCCATCCTGGCTGCACTGGGACGCCAGCAGCAGAATCCTGCAGGGTCTTCCTTTGGAGGAGGATAAAGGAGTCTTCTACATCTCTGTAACCATCTCCAACCACACTAAAGCCTCAACCTCAGAGGTGTTTCCCATTGAAGTGCACCCTGAAGACCACCTGGATCTTGATTCTGCTCAACTGCTGTCCAGCCAAGCTGCTGTGGATGACCACGTCCAGCCGTTGTTTTGTGAAGGCGAAGAGCCGGTCACCATCCTCACTGTGATTCTGGATGCTGACCTGACCAAAATGAGCTCTGAGCAGAGGGTGGAGCTGCTGGATCACATGAGGAGCTTCTCTGGGGTTGATCTCCAGCACATGAAGATGCTCCCTGTGGTCAACAACAAGCTGTTTGACATGTCTGCGTTCATGGCTGGGCCTGGCAATGCCAAAAAGGTAAGCTAGTGTGGGAACAAAATTTCAGAACGGTTTTATTAATCCGGACAGAAAAATAATGCATAGTTTTTTTCTCATCAGGTAAAAAACAGAGGAACTTTAGATGATGTGGTCAACACATCTTAAGTTGTAGCTTAATTAGAGAGCTGGACTCTTGGCTAACGTTAGGGAGAGCAGAGATGCAGCAGCATGGAGCTTCATCCATTCATAGTCAAATGAAAAAAATCCTTAAAACCATCAAAAATGACTCATTCACACCGAGTACAGAACTGTTGCAGTCCGGTTTGTGTTTGCTTCAGACCGACAGCTGTTCATGTGCTGAATGTCTCTGGAAAGTTTCTCTGTGAGGATTAGAAATCTTAACAGATGTTCTTGTAAGTAAGTAAGTACATTTTATTTGTGTAGCACTTTTATCACAGACATAGAATCACTAAGTGCTTCACATAGATCAAAACAAAATAAAACAAAGTCATAAAATCATAAACAGGTTAACATAATAAAATCAAAATGCTCTCAAAACAGAATTAGATTAACATCAGAAAAAGTAAAGTCATAAAATTATAAATTTTCATAAACAGATGAAAGATTAAAAATTTGATTTAAAAATAAGAAAATAAAAGATTTAGGTAAAAGCAGCTTTAAATAAAAGGGTCTTTAGCTGTTTTTTTAAAAGTGTCCAGACTGTAAAAACTACATAAGGATATAGGAAGATCATTCCAGAGTCGGGGTGCAACAGTCTGGAAGGAGCGATCACCTCGGCTTTTGAATCTGGTCTTTGGAACTTCTAGAAGGTTCTGGTGTGTGGACCTGAGGGCTCAGGTTGGAGCATAAGGCTTTAACAGTTCAGTAATATAGGGAGGAGCTTGACCATGTAGAGCCCTGAAGGTTATAGTCAGGATTCTAAAATGAACTCTGAAGTTAACGGGTAACCAGTGCAGAGACGTCAGAATAGGAGTGATGTGAGCTCTTCTGTTTGCTGCAGTTAGGAGCCTCGCTGCAGAGTTCTGGACCAACTGAAGGCGGTCAAGGGCTTTTTTGTTAAAACATGTGAAGAGTGTGTTACAATGATCTAGACGGGAGGAGATAAAGGCATGGAGAACCATTTCAAGTTCACGTTTTGACACCAGCCTTCGCAGTTTGGAGATATTTCTTAAATGATAAAACCAGTTTTGGACCAACGTTTTTGAGTGACCTTCAAGAGACATTGATTGGTCAAAAATAACACCCAAAGTCCTTAAGTTTGTCTTGACGGCAGAGGATAAATGACCAAGTTTTAGACTAATCAGGGGAACCATGCTCTCAGGGGCAATGATCAGACATTCAGTCTTTTCAAAGTTTAACTGAAGGAAGTTATCTTCTAGCCAGCTGGTGATCGCTGATAGACACTCTAGTAATTCAGACAGTTTGTAGGACTCAGAATTCTTAAAGGCTGCGATGGACTGGCTCTCTGTCCAGGGTGTACCCCGCCTGATTGAACTGGAGATGGGCACCAGCCCCCTCCCCGCAACCCTGCATGGACAAAGCGGGTTCAGAAAATGGATGGATGGATAGAATCCTTAAAGGAGAGTGCAGCTGAATATCATCTGCATATAGGTGAAAAGAGACATTATGAAAAGAATCAAGTATCTGTCAAAGAGGGTGTATGTACAGCAGAAACAACAGTGGACCCAAAATAGAGCCTTGGTTTACCCCACAGAACAGATAAGTAGAATCTGACATGATTTGGTTTATACAGACACTGTAACTTCTGTTAGAACGGTACGATCTAAACAGTCTAGAATGTGGTAGAAACAACATGAGCTATCAACACTGTGACTTGGACACTTCACCGACCCGCATGTCACCGTGGTCCCGTGTAAATGCACTACATGTGTTTTGATCTCACGCGAACCGGACCGCATCTGTTCGTACTCTCTGTGAAAGTGGCTTGAGTCTGAAACAGCTGAATGTCTTCTGCCTGCTGTCTGAATAAAAAGGACACAACAGGGGCCACGGGTTCTTCACCCTGGTAGTCTGCTTCGGTCTTGGTTTGTGACTGTGTGATGTCTGTCATTTCAGGTGGTGGAGAATGGCGCACTGCTGTCATGGAAGCTTGGCTGCTCACTGGACCAGAACTCAGTTCCCAATATTAACAATGTCCAGGGTCCTGCCAAAGAAGGTGCAATGTCAGCCAAGCTGGGGTTCCCTGTGGTGGGCTGGCACATAGCCAACAAGAAGCCCCATGTCCCGAAGCGGGTGAGGCGACAGCTGAACAACACTCCAACACCTGCTTTGGCAGCGGTCCCTCCAACCACAGTGGTGGAGCCACCAGTGAGAATCATTCCAACACTCTCCTCTCCATCTATTGCTGCACCCACAGAAAGTTCTGCTCCCCCTGTTAGAGGCCCCGTCCCCCTTCCAGTCAAGCCTACAATCAGAGTCCGTGATCCTATTGCCCACACACCTACACTGGGACCGTCTCCTCCAATAAAAGTTCTGGAGACCACCAGCACTGTTTCTATTGGCCCAACCGTGACCTGGTCTAGACATGTTGAAGCCACGCCCACATTGTCCACCACAACCCAAAAGTCCCCAGGGAAAAAAATCCGAACGACCCCAGTCCCAGGAAAGCCCACACTCAAGCCTCCCAAGCCTCCCAAGACGCCCAAGCCGCCCCGCAGCACCACCACTCCATCATCTGGTGTCATCCCAGACCCGTACAATGAGCCACCAGTCCTGAGAAACCCCATCGACCAGGTCAATGCACTGGTGGGAACCTACTTTGAAGTAAAGATCCCATCTGATACATTCTTTGACAAAGAGGATGGAACAACAGATAAACTGAGTCTCACTCTAAGGCAGAACAACAACGAAGCAGTTGAAGGCAAATCCTGGATCCTCTTCAACACCACCAGCCAACTCCTCTATGGACTGCCGGATGTCCAGCACATTGGGAAACATGAGTACTTCATGCAAGCAGCTGACAAAGGTGGCCTCAATGCTGTTGATGCTTTTGAGGTCCGTGTAAACCGCTGGCCCCTCAATGACAAAACCCCCGTCATATTCACAGCTCGCTTTGATGGAGAGCCACGCTCAGTCACAAATGACATCCACAAGAAGATCCTTCTAGTTAAAAAGCTGGCGTACGTTCTCGGGGACCGAAACAGCAGCACAGTGAGCTTAAGAAACATCAGCAAAGGGTCAGTTGTGGTGGAATGGACAAACACCAGCCTCCCACACAATCCGTGTCCCAAAGATCAGCTGGTGGCGATGAGCAGGACCCTTGGCAATGCAGATGGAAGACCCTCACAGGCCTTCAGGTATGCCATGGAGCCTGAATTCAGACCACTGGACGTGAAGGTGAAGGGACGAGCAAGCTGCCGAACCTATTCCTTCATTCCACCAGCAGAGATTGACCTATCAGAACCTCCCACAGTCGTTCCGGGAGTGGGATCGAGCCGGCATAGCACAGATGATGTGTACCTTCACACAGTCATTCCCGCTGTGGTGGTGGCAGCCATCTTGTTGATTGCAGGAATCATTGCGATGATTTGCTACAGGAAGAAACGACGAGGCAAGCTCACCATCGAAGACCAGGCCACCTTCATCAAAAAGGGTGTGCCAATCATCTTTGCAGATGAACTTGATGACTCTAAGCCTCCTCCGTCCTCCAGTATGCCCCTGATACTCCAGGAGGAGAAGCCCCCCCTTCCTCCCCCTGAATACCCCAACATGGCCACTCCAGAGACCACCCCCCTCAACCAGGAGCTACTTGGGGAATACACGGCTCTGAGAGATGAGGACCCCAATGCTCCTCCCTATCAGCCACCACCTCCCTTCACCACTCCCATGGAGGGCAAGGGCTCCCGTCCTAAGAACATGACTCCCTACAGATCTCCACCCCCCTACGTGCCCCCCTAAGACTTGTTTAACCCTCCCCTACAGGTTGGAGGAAAGAGGATGCCTGAAGAACTGTGACAGTTTCTATTTTGGTGTGTCTGGGAGAGATGACAAGGTGCTACAGTACAAAAGCAGCTACAGGGAACTTTGGTGTGGGTGGGGGTTTACAGCTGACAGACGGGATGATTGGCGTGAACAGCTGGGAGGGACTACTGCGTGTAAGCTAGCCCAACAACCACAGCGGCCGAAGCCAACCCAGTTTGACGCGGCCACTCAGAATCACATCTGGGAGGAGGGCGCTCCCTTCTCTGCATTTCAACCTTTTCTTAGATTTGAAAACGGGATTAAAATAGTATTTTTCTTTCTTATTATCCCAAGATTGATTTTTATTTTTTCTGGACTGAAACCTTTGCCTGACTTGATTTTTCCTGCTTTGAAACGATACGAGGAGACTGAACTGTCACCAGACCTCTGCTGGCAGTGACTCGTGTTTTTAGAACGCTGTGAGATTCTGAGTGTGAGGAGAACATCACAGGAATCTCAAACGACCCCTGCAGACGACAGAGAACATCAGAGAGTGTGTGTGTGTTAGTTCAGATTCAAAACGATTTGCCTTTTAACACGAGCTGTCTGTTTCTATTCTTATTCACTGTCTAGTTCAGCCGAGAATAACAAGGTAGCTTCAAATGATGTAGAGATGATAAACTTTAGTTTTATGGTTTGTTTTTTAAATCACTGAAGATCTGCACGAGGCTCAGGTGGATCCTTCTGGTACTTTTGATGGCGCAGGGATGGGAAGGGATTTCCTCCCTGGAACAACCTTGAATGATTTTTACTCCTGATTTTGTATGTCAATCCCGTCTCTTAGTTTTATAAAAGTTCCTCCTGGTTCTTCTGGAGCCGTCAGCAGATCTTCTGGGCTCAGATTCACCAGACGTGTTTATCTTTGATTCTTTAATCATCTGTTATGCTTTGATTTGGATTTGAATGCAAACATTTGTTCCTTTACGTTGAGTTGATGTAGTTTCATTATGTTGACCTGGATTAGCGAAAATACTCGTTTAGAGAGAAGCTGGGAAATGAAACCCTAAAAGGAGGTGGTTTGATCAGGTTAAATGTGTTAACCTGTGCTGGTTTAAAAAAAAAAACAAAAAAAAAACATTTTCCAGTTCTTTTCAGGTTTATTTAATGTTTTAATTGTGTATTATTCACTTGCTCTGCCTTATTTCTCACTTCTAAACATAAAACACTGGGAATTTGTAGCGTTTGAAGCAAAAGTCCAACAATTTTATCTAGAGTGATTCTCTCATTTATATTGATCATCTTGAGTCAGTTAAAGTTGATGATGGCTTTCCACAGCTGTGTGTGACTCCATGCACGATGCTCTAACATGTTACGTGGATAACAAACTGATGGAGATCTTTCACCTTTTAGAGGACGGATGATTGTAGCTGCGACTCAGCAGAGAAACAAACTTTCACTCAAACCCGTAAAAAATAGTTGAGTTTTCATCTTTTTGACTCAAACTGTGTGATTATTATATGAAATGCAGTTCATTAGTTTTCAGTGATTTTTGAGAATTTTAGCCTAGAAGTTTAAATTCAGTTATGAACATTTTTAATTTTTTCGGGTCACGTTTACGAGCGTTTTTCTTGTTTGTGTGTGTGTGTGTGTGTCTCCACTATACGAGTGACTGACCCATGCTTTATGTAACCACAAATGTTGTTTTCACATCTCTCTGTTTGAAAGTGACCCTTTGCAATAATAAAGTGCGGTTGGATTCGCTCAGCGAGCGGTCCACGCGGGCTCACATGACTGACTTGTATACGGAGGGTGATGTTGGTTTTTGCAGGATGCCAAGGCCTTTTCTGCTTATGGAGTGTGAGTTGTAATAATAAAACCAACTGGTACCTTAAAAGCTCCTGTCATTCATGACTCACCTTGTCCTTGCAGCTTCTGTTGGGAGTTTTCTGACCGTGACGAGTTCTGGTCCTGCCATAGTGCTCCATCAAATGCTGGCGAATGCTCGCAGGGAGGCGCTTCCTCGAGCTGATGAATCAGCCCAGCTTAAGTCACGGGGGTGGGGGCGGCTCACCTCCCCGGACAGCTTCCCGCTGCCTGAAACGTTTCTACAAACCCGTTCAGCCTTTGATGACCAGCTGCTCAGATCACCGTGAGCTCTGCCAAGTCTCTCGCTTTGCATACAGACGACACGCATCGATGACATAAAGTATTGATTAGACGTAAGCAGTTGGCACCTCTGTGATATTCCATGACAGAGTTTAATTTGGGAGAGGGCGAAGCAATGATGAATGTGTTCCTAAGATGTCTCGGGATTCAGAAACGGCTAAACAGATCAGCTCCACGACGAAGATTAATGGAGAATTGATTCTGGTTTGGTTGAGGCAGCTTGTGGGGATGTGACGAGGCTCTCAGCTGCAATGCTCATGAGACAGGTGGATCTGGGTCAATCAGCACTTCTCTGTGCACTTAAAGGAAGAGAAGATTTCATTGGATTTACTCTGAGCAGCAGAACACTTTACATACTGCAGGAAATGCTCCTGTAAACAGCATCTTTATTCTGGAGACATCTACAGGTAGCTACCTGAGTTAGAGCTATAAAAACAGGCCAGAGTTTGTTTTCTTCTACTGCTTCCAGAGTTCTTCCATCGACATATATGCTCACAAGCATCTGGCTGCAGACATCAGATGGCATCTACCGGAAATGACGTAACCAGAAAAACAAGACATCGGGTCATTCCCTTCGCCAGAAGTCATTACCTTTGCAGGAAGTAGTTTGGATTTGACGAGAAAAACCATACCGTGTTGTTTTTCTCTTAGATATGTATATAAACATATACATATCAAAGAGAAAAACAATACAGTGGGTCATTACCTTAACCAGAAGTCATTACTTTCACAGGAAGTAGTTTTTTTAAAACAACTTACCGGAAAAAGCTTTTTTTTATTTCGGATTTTTTTCTCTTCAAATCTGGACTGGCAAACTTTTAAATAACGTCATTACCTACGTTGCATGAAAACTGAAAAGTAAATCCCTTTGTCCTTCAGACAGGGAATTTTTATGACAGTAGCACATGTTTATAATATTTACAACAATAAAAGGCTGTAAAGTGAATAAAAAAAACGTGGGAAAAATGATAACACATTAAACTAAGACTTTGAGATGTGCAAGCAAAATAGTACTTGCTAAATATTCAGTTTCATTAAGCCCAAGATGAACTTTTGACCTACACCAATTGCTAAAGTACAGGACTCCCAGAAGCAGTGAAAAACATTTCAGCAACACTCCTCTCTCACCAGCAACAAAAATTTGTTGAAAAATATCCATAACACTGTCCTATATGTGTATCATAGCAGCTCATTGCAACAGAATTTAACTACTACAGCTGATTACTATTTAGCTAGATAGTATTTCTGTATTATTTTGAGTGAAAGACAATAAAAGAAACACTTAATTTCACAACCATTTTATTTTGGTTAGAAACGAATTTGCTTATGGCTTTCTCCGCTGCATATCGATTCATCCCCTCCCATTTTCCCAACACTTTGTCACCTGAAAAACATGCACACAAGGATTAATTCATACACTGTCAAATGTTTTCAAAAGCCGTGCATATTCAAAAAGCCATACAAGGTTGTAATACATTGTTGAGTTTCATTTTTGCTATTTCAGAATGTTTGTTCATGGACAGTTACATTTTCTATTCATACATTTCTGAAGCAAAATCAATTCCTTTTTTAGTTTTTATTTGTTATTACGTACTTTTTTCAGTCATTTAAACAAAATTACTTAAAAATATTTAGAGATATTGAAAGCTAAGATTGTCCGGAAAAAACATTTTTTTGGGTGCACAGGACTAGTTCCAGTGTGGACCAGATACTTAAAAAATGCATAAATCTGTCTTTTTTGAATTTTCACAAATCAGGAAAAGGTTTAACAAATCACAAACTATGTTTTATGCATTCTGCTATGAGCCTAGAATAATCTAGAACAGGTTTGAAGACTGTATGTGTTGTAGTTTTTGAGCTAGGGCAGATTAAAAATGGTCAGAGAGAGAAAATTTGGGTGTATTAGCCCTTTAGCCATTTCCCGAATCGGAAGCCAATTTATGCTTCGTATGAAAACTAGTGATTGAAACCACTTAAAAATTTCTGAAAATCTAAGCTTTTTAATTAAAAAAAAGGGGTATTAATAACATTTCAGTCAAGTCAGTATTAGGAATTGTGGTCTTTATATCATATCTCTGCCTGACCCAGATCAGTAACTGGCTGTCCAGCAACTTTCTTGTCCTCAATGCTAACAAGACAGGGACCCTGATTGCTGCACCCCCGGAACTTCAGCCAAAAATCAAGCAAGAAATTGCCTCTTTTTGCCCATCAACCAAGGCCAACATTAGAAACCTGGGAGTTTTTTTTATCCAGCTTCAAGTTTAGACTCACACGTCAAAACCATCTCCCGCTCTTGTTTCTTTCAACTGGGAAACATTTCAAAAGTCCGTAAACTGGTTTCTACTGCAGATCTGGAAAAAATAATCCATGCCTTTGTGTCATCACGCTTGGACTACTGTAACGCTCTTTTTACTGGTCTCAGCAAAACCTCCCTCTCACGCCTTCAAGCCATCCAAAATGCAGCAGCCAGACTCCTAACCAAATCCAGCAGACGAGCTCTCATCACTCCAGTTTTACAGTCCCTCCACTGGCTCCCGGTAGAATATAGAATACAGTTTAAAGTTTTAGTCCTGACCTATAGAGCTCTTAACAACCAGGCTCCAAGCTACCTATCTGAGCTTTTATCCCCACACACCACCTCTCGGAACCTTAGATCCACATCTGAAAACCTCCTGGTTGTTCCTCGAACCAGACTGAAAACCAAAGGGGACAGGGCCTTTCAGACTGTTGCACCCAGACTTTGGAACAGTCTTCCTTCAAATCTCCGTCTCTCCAACACTGTAGAGGTCTTTAAAAATCATCTAAAAACTCACCTTTTCATCCAGGCGTTCCGTCCCTAAATGTTCTAAAAGATGGCTTTGTTTGGGTTCACACCTTCACTTTGTTTATACTCATGATTTAATTTTCTACTTTATCACTGCTATTGTTTTTCTGATGTTTGTATTGGTTAGAGGTATTTGCCCTGATTTTTATCATGTTGTACAGCGCTTTGTGATTTATATCTGTGAAAGGCGCTCTATAAATAAACTTTTACTTACCTACTTACTTACTTACATATCTCAATTATATATAAAGTTAATATTATTACTTTAACTGTTTTAACAAACAGGGAGACCAGCAAAATCAAATAGCTAAGTTAAAGCTAAGCTACAATTGCTGATTGCTTTATTGATTTAGCTTTTGTGTTAGCTTGTGAACTCCTTGCATTAGTTTTAAGACTGCGTGTTAATCTTGATACAATTAGCTATGAAACACGGTGCCTTTGCAATAATTCTCTGGTAAAGCTTTAAATGTCATAGTGCCTACATTTAAGAACTAAGAACATTAGTTAATTTCTTCCTTACCTTTCCTCTTTGAAGCCCGCCGAGTATGGTTGAAACAAAAACACAAAAACAATGTAGCGGCCACCAAAAAAGACCAACTTCCGGCCGAGGTCTTTCACTCGTCGATTTTCCGGTAAAAGTAATGACACCCCATCCTGTTCTCACTTGAAAGTTCTTTCCGGTGACACGCCAGCTGATGTCTGCAGCCAGGTCCTACTCTAGATACTGGGCAATTCATTTCCATAGGCTCCAATAATAAGTTTTTAAGCCAAAATGGGAGGTGGCCACCACCGCCATTTTGACCTTGTCACAGGTTCTGTCAAGCCCAGACAATCCCAAAAAAGGGAAAAGAGGTGGAGCTGAGGGTGAGGCTGTAAGGCTGGGATCAAATGACGACACCTGTTGAACTAAAGCAATGTAGCCACAAGCTAACCCAAAGCTAACGTGGAGGTGGGAGCTAAGCTAACGGAGGTTGCAACCTAGCTACAACCGGAGTTAACTGTGCACAACACCGGAGCTTCAGAGTCAGAGATACGCCGGGCTGACCGCTGGGGAGAACCAGGAACACAGAGGTCTCCCGAGAGCTCCACAAGCCGGCAGCCACGCACCAGACAGGCGCCGCTGTGATCAGAGATGCGTTGAGCTGCCGCTGGGGAGAACCGGGTGGAAAACATCAGTTTCCATCCGAGAGCTCCACAAGCCAGCAGCCTGCACAGCAGACAGGTGCCGCTGCGATCAGAGATGCACCGAGCTGCCGCTGAGGGATGGGAGTCCATACCGATAGTCGGAACCCAGCTCCACCAACATGTCACATTTCAACCCATTTTCAAAAATGCAGCGTTATGTTAAATGCACTGGGTTTTACCCTATTACATTAAAATTTTATGGTTAAACAATACATGTTTAACCAGCTAGTGCAAGAGCGGCCGTGACCTAAATATAATTTTACTTACCGAAAAAATGAAGTGGAGACTCCTTGGACGCTCTATTAGTGCAATTAATGCCACAGCAAGTCATTTTGTCCAACAATTGCACAAATAATATCCATAAAGAACACATAAACGCTACAACTAATGGTCTAAGTTGAGAGACTGAAAATCACGGAACAGTTTTCAGGCGAGACCGAGGCTCTACTGAGGCCTTTCCACGGAGCTAGCTCTGCGGTCACGTGGGTCTGATGCTCATTAATTATACAAAATTTTAGGCTTTTAATACACTTAAACAGAAGAGTGACAAAAAAAATTCACCCTCCTCAGAGTTGTCATGAGTGTAAACTAGATATATTAAACCTAAAACATGTTTTGGAACCAGGCTGTAAACATGTTTATTTCTGCTGCGAAATTGGTATTTTTAACATGGGAGTCAATCTATTTGACAATATATTTACAAAAAGACATAGTAAATA